GTTTGAATGAATAAAAAGGCATGTATGAATAAAACTCTCACACACACAAAAATACAGGTATTAATAAACTGAACTCCCTCTAAACACACTTTTGAATATAGAAGATATTATTTTGACCACCAGAGGCTACTCAAGGTTCATAAGCATAACAAAATTATGGTAAGAGAGTTGTAGTCCTAATTTTGCCAGTTAAGAGCTGGGCAGGTCACCTCTCTTATGCTTATCTCTGTGAAGATTAGACTCGATATTTAAGGTCATTTTCGCTATATTATTTTGAATTCTGACTTAGAAATATTTCATAGTTAAAAAAAAATCTGGCATCCTTAGTCTGGAAATTCCTGTCATTTTGTATTTGTGAACATGAGACCAAAATCTGGTCTCATGTTCACAAGTAATCCAGAAATCAAGGCAAGAATCATTCAATAAATTATCAAAGGATACTAAGTGTATTAGGTAAAAGTCTTTAAATCCAGAGAATTTTAAATGACTTTCTCCTAAAAATGTAAAGAGCACGCCTGTAGCTCTACCACTTTACATGAAATTCAATGGACAGAGGAGTGGCTCTATTTCACCTAATTGCTGCACAGATATCTGTGAAGTGCCTCACTAACAGAGTGAAGAAATAGACTGTATTTAAAGGTCAGTCCTGATCTACTTACAATTTTCTGCCTAGCAGTTTGGAACACAAATAACAATTGTATTGCAATTGCCTCAAAATATTTAATTAATCCACAATTCACAGAAGCTTTAAAAAAAAGCAAAAAAAGTAAAAGTATATAACTTGGATGAAAATCTACAATTGGAAATAAAGCAGCTAGAACAGAGCAAAAAGCAGAAATATAATTGTGCAGGAATTTGAAATAGGACTGTCTGGAATATATATGAATACCATCCAAAGACTAAAGACAAATTAAATTTCACCTATGAAAGAGCTAAATATGAACAGATGTACTGAGGAGTTAAAACCCAGAGGTGCCTCAGCAAAGGAAAGAAACAGAAAACCTAAAAAAAAGTAAACTTCTCTGATGGAGCGTTACTGTTTAAAGAGTATGACATTTCATTTTAAGAAGATAAACAATTCTGGAGATAGATGCTGATGATGGTTGCAAACAATGTGAATATACTTAATTCCACTGAATTACATATTTTAAAATGATTAAAATTGTAAGTTTGATGTATATTTTACTGCAGTAAAAAATTTTTTAAAAATCAAAAACATGAATTTACTGGGCATCAGACTCCCAACCACACAATAAAGCTTAGTAAATTTGCTGAATCTAATAATCATTTCTACAGTACATTGTACTAGAAATAAGCAGCGCCATGAAACAGCTGGATGTTACTATTTTTGCCATTTCAGCTTCTACAGTTAACCCTATAACAACTTTGCATATTTGACTCCATAGCTGATGATGCACCAATGAAATAGTCACCTTCCAAGGAGCTATAGAAACCATGGTTTCAAGTTAAAATGTTTAGGAAATAAATGAATTATCTTTACTTTAAAAAAATGATTTTTAAAGGTCTTAATTTAAAATTTGAATTACTGTACAAATGAGATTAATTTCTTTTACAAATTAAATAGTTAAACTATTTAAGTTTTTGTAATTACAGTGTTTGAATATAGAAGTTAGGTTGTGAAGTAATCTAATTTTTTCATATTTTAAAATTATCTCTATCTTGCTGGTAAGTACACTAAAATACTGAATTAATACCTCTACAGAATCTGCAAATGTTTTGTTTTTAGATATACTATTACCATACCTATCTACCACTTTTTTTTTTTGAGTTGGAGTCATACTCTGTCACCCAGGCTGGAGTGCAGTGGCCACTCCCAGCCACTGCAGCCTCGACCTGCTGGGCTCTGGCGATCCTTCTGCTTCAGCCTTCCAAGTAGCCGGAACTACAGGCGCGTGCTACCATGCCCGGCTAATTTTTTTGGATTTATTGTAGAGATGAGGTCTCGCCAAGTTGCCCAGACGGGTCTTGAACCTGCGGGTTCAGGCAGTCCACTCACCTCAGCCTCCCAAAGCGCGGGATTACAGGCTTAGCCACCGAGCCTGGCTTTCTACCACTTTTATAAAACAGCAGTCAGAAAATGTTTTATTGTTACCTAACATACCATATATTTTCAGAATTAAAAGTATAAGAATAGTAGAATACACCATAATGACTAAATTAGGTGGGACTTGATATAACAAAATAATTAGCATCCACTAGCACAAAAAAACTAAAAAAATCAAATATCCCCGATAAGATCTATTACTACATTATTGCACTTTTATCCTTAAATTTATAATATATAATCAGGCAAGAATATAAATAAAAAAGATTCCATAAGCAACCTTTTACTGTTACTAAAACAAAACAGAATACACAGTTTGATGATTAAGTACAAAAGAAAAGAAAGACTATTAGGCTGCAAAGAAGATGGGCCTTAAACTGGATTGTGAATTAAGATAACAGAAGAGGAAACAGGTATTAGAGGATGACAACAGTACTGCAAGGTAATTAGGGGAGAGAATATACTAATATCACCTTAAATACAAATAGCACCTTATAATTTTTAAAGGGTTTTAAAGGAGCTGATAAGTACAGCAAACTTCTATTTAGTGGCATATGTTGTTTATGTTATCCAGATTTAGGAAACTGACCAATAAGCTACATTATACAAAGGTATACTGACTACCATCAAGTGATTGAGCTACTCATTGCTTTATCACTAAGTCTTATGTTAGTGGAGTCTCCAAAGTACTCTGAGTCAACAGGATATGCAAACTGAAGAATAGAAAAATTGAAGGACCATCTATATCACAATTAGGTAGAGAACACTAATAACTGGTTTCAGTTAAAAATCTCACTCTCTTATGCCATAGTCAATGAAGCGGGTATGTTTAATGTACCATCATGGAATACTTAATTACAGAAGGAAATAAGCCTTTCTTAAAGCCCTCCATTAAGCTATCCAACTCAGTTGTTAATTTCAACTGAGTGCTGAGCGGATATGAAGCACTTGAATTCTAAATCAAAGTGGCATGTAAACGAAGAAAACAAAGAATTTCTGGCAAACCACTCACACTTTGAATCCAAACTCAAGGTGATTAACCTGTTTTGCATTTTATCCAAATTGGTTTTATATATATATAAAACTTTTTTTTTTCTTTTTTTGAGTTGGAGTCTCACTCCGTAGCCCTGGCTGGAGTGCAGTGGCACACTCACTGCCACCGCAGCGTCAACCTGCTGGGCTCTGGCGATCCTTCCATCTCAGTCTTTCAAGTAGCTGGAACTACAGGCACGTGCTACCATGCCTGTCTAATTTTTGATTTATTGTAGACACAGATCTCACCAACTTTCTCGGGCTGGTCTCGAACCCGCGGACTCAGGCAGTCCTCTCGCCTTGGCCTCCCAAAGTCCTGGGATTACAGGCTGAGCCACCATGCCCAGCCTACATATAACTTTTCAATGCTTTAAGGATACTTCTTTTATAAGCACCACTGTACTGCATTAAATACTTAGTAGGAAATTCCTGATTGTCCATGGATGTAATCAGTTAACTGAAATTTTACACAGGTAGACAGAAATGCCAGATGTTTGCCTATGTATCTCATTTATACATCTAAATCTTATCTGAATGGATGTTAAGATCTTAACTGCTCTGCCTTTTTCTAGTGTTTACCCTCCATTTCACCCTAAAAAAGAAAACTCAATGTAGCAGCTTAGGTTACAGAGTAACTACATTCTATTCAAGTCTTCTGTTGTTAAGTACACTCAGGAAAAACAGCTTCCCCTTCTTCCCAAACCCTTTCCTTTCTCTTTTTATATTTCAACAACTCCTGCTAGCCATCCATGGTTAGTGAATAGAAAAGTTACTTTTTTTGTTTTTGTTTTTGAGTCAGGGTCTCACCCTGTCACCCAAGCTGGAGTGTTGCCCAGGCTGGTCTGGAACTCCTGGGCTCAAGTAGTCCTAAAAGGCCCTGACTTCTTATGCCTGAAGGTTCTTCTGCATATCAGTATGGTTCACAGTTTTGGGCTCAGAACCCTCTGCGATTACTTAGATTTTATGAAGTTGTCTGCATTAAAATACATGTATAGCACTAAAAACAAAATAAAGAGAGATTTGTTTCAGGGATTTTTGAGTTTGTTTTTACAAGATGGTTCATTTAACACTTTTTTTTTTAGTTAAAACACTTTGTTGAACATATAGAGAAAAGATGTAAGCTCTGAGAATGTAGAAAAACAAAAAAACGAATGTAATTTATGCAGGCTATTTACCTGAAAATAAGAGTAGTTTTACTGATCAAACTTTTTTCCCCCCTAACAATTTTAGGGGTACAGTGGTTTTGATTACATGGATGAATTAGTGTACCATCACCTGAATAGTGCACTTTGTACCTGATAGGTGATTTTTCATCTTAACCACCTTTCCCGCCCTCCCCCTTCTGAGTTTCCAGTGTCCATTATACCATTCTGTATGCCTTTGCAGACCCATAGCTTAGTTCACACTTATTTTTTTTTTTTGCAGCAGAATTTCTATTGAGAGGACAGAAAAGCTCCCACAGTGGGAGGGAACCTAAGTGAGACTTATAAGACTTACAAGTGAGAACATGTGGTATTTGGTTTTCCATCTCTGAGTTACTTCACTTAGGATAATGCTGATCAACCTCTTAAACTATTCATTAAAATGAATCTTTTTTAGTTTTTACTATATGAGAATGAAGAAGTGTTTGTAGCCTCATAATTGGTGGAAACAATTTCTTTAAAGTTTTAAATAGCCTTGAAAATGGAAGATAGGACTAATTTTTTTTTTAAAGAAAACCTGAAAATTGTTTGGAAGAGGCACTGCTTGAATCACTCTTTTTTCACTTTTGGTCACTTTTTTTTTCTTAAGATCTCTGGAAAATATTTGTGTTGGAAGTTGTCATTTACTTCTTCTCTGTCTTTTCTGTTACTTCTTAATAACAGAAAAATCATAATTCTTTGATTTCTTTTTTCTTCTTTAGTGGCTTGCAGAAGAGATGAAATGTGGTCTGAGGGACGATATGAATATGAAAGACTTCCAAGAGAACGAGTACCTCCTCGAAGTCACCCCAGTGTGAGTTACTCCTGCATATCAAATAATTCAAAACCTAGTGTCTAGGTTAATTTGATACACGAAAGCTAGTCCTATGGATAAAATATTCAAGTGTCAGAAATGTGCCAGTCTAGGCTGAAAAATACATCATGCTTATCTTTTAAAAGTTAAAAGTTTGAAAATAGATGGTAGCATTTTAATTAAGTAGAAAATCTTATATTTTTGTTTAAGTTTCTAAAATTAAGGGTTTATATTTAATTTGTGAAAAAATTACATGTTTTATAAAGGACAGATCATCAGTTAAAGAAGTGTTTGAGTACCTGTTCTTGCTGCTATTAGCTGTTACCTATTTTTTTATATTCTTCAAAATCTTTGCAGATGAATATATTAAATTCTGAAAATAGTCTTTCACTTTAGAAGAGGATAACTTTCTAGAGTAGAAACATGGTAATATCTCTCGTTAGGAATCCAACAGGTATGCTTTCCTGTGATGAGGCAGTTTGGCAGGTAAGAATGCCTGGGGGATTGGGGCAGGCAGGCAACTTCTGTTGTGTTGTCCTGATGCCTATCTCTTTGTTGCTCTGGGAATTGAACATTTCGTGTCTGGCCTTTTCTAAGTCCAAAGAGTTTGCTTATTTCATTTATTCCAGTGCTATATATAGTACCTAGCACATAATGGACCTCAGTATGTATTGAATGAATATGTGTTCTCTTCCCCAAAATCCTCTATGGAGGCCTAAAGGAGGGCTTGGGGAAGGTCCAGAAGCTGCTTACTTAAACTTTGCACAGGCCCATTCTAAGCAGTAGGGGGCTGGGGTTGTGGTGATGATATTTGGTAGGCTATGGATTCATTTTATACCATCAAAGGTCACAATTTTTGTCTATATGTTAGTTTCCTTTTTTCTTATACATTATTTAATACTGCAACCCACTCAGATGGGTACTGTCATCTTCAGGATTATCATTGGCCTTGATTATAGCTGTGATTGAGGTTGATTTGAAATAATTGAAGTTAGAAAAGATGAAGAAGCCCTTTATATTTTAGGATGGCCGGACTTTATTACTATATCATTTTTTTCCAGGTTAGTTTGTAGACCTTATGTTTTCAAATCAAAGACCCAATGTTTTTATTTTTTAACTTGATAAAGTTTTTCTATAATTCGTCTGGAAGAATAAACAAGTAATATACATAAATGTGACGTAGAAGTCATGGAAGGATGTGAAAAGGGATGACTGTTGTTTAAATTTACTTTTAAAGATCCTCTCCCCTTCCCCGCCAAGGATATATCTCATTAGGAATTTTAAATTCTGTGTTTCAAAAATACTTAAATGCATTTTCTGTGTGTTGTGCCATCAACTGGTCACCAGTCTGCAGGATTGTGTGCTTTATTACTTTGTGAGTGAGGAAAGCAGATTGTTTTATTGATTTAAGATTGTAAGTTAAGGGATGGACCCATGGAGATGAGGAGTGCTGACCGGAGAATTATTGAGGCAATATGCTAAATGGTATGTGGTATGGATTAATTAAGAAAAGGACTAAGACTGTGGGAAGGACACTAGAGTGAAAGAAGTGAGATGTTGCAGGACAGGAAAGGCTTAGTAAGGTTGGAGGCCATGGTATGGCAAAAAGATAGGCATTTGGTATCTTAGAGTGTGAGGTTTCCAAATATAACAATTCCAGATGGAATTCTGTGTATGAGAGGGTTGGTGTAAGTTATTGGAGTTGAGAAAAAGAAAACTTTGAGGCTAGATTTTGTCTCAGCAATTTAGATTGGAGGCTCTCAATCCTAGTTGCGTATTAAAATCTAGAGAGCTTTTCAGTATCATTTTATGGGCCCCATCTTAATTAAATTACCATCTCTATGGATGGCATCTGAACCTCAATATTTTTTAAAAGTTCACGAGATGATTCTTATATGCAGAGTTAAAAAATACAGATGTATTTCAAGATTCAAGTCCCTGATAATTACGGGAGTTGAGTAAAAATGGTAGGTGATGGAAATCCTCAAAGAATAAGAATATTATAGAACCATCTAAATAAAACTAAGCATTTTCATTTAATGCCATTTGTGTGTGTGTGTGTATGTATATATAAAAGAGATTTTTTTCCCTCATAAAATAATCTCATCAACCACAAGCAGGTATAGAGATAGGTTTAATACTCCAAGTGTCCTTAAAGTTAGACTAGATGTACTCAGCTGTCTTTTAAATGCCTAAAAGTAAACCTCACTTCTTTTTTTTTTTTTTTTTGAGTGGACGTCTCACTTCGTCACCCAGGCTGGAGTGCATTGGCATGCTCATAGCCACCCCATCGTTGACCTACTGGACTCCAGTGATCCTTCCACCTCAGCCTTCCAAGTAGCTGGAACTACAGGCGTGTGCCACTATTCCCGGCTAATTTTTGACTTATTGTAGAGGCAAGGTCTTGCCAAGTTGCCTGGGGCTGGTCTTGAACCTGCGGGCTCAGATAGTCCACTGGCCTCAGTCTCCCAAAGTGCTGAGATTACAGGCTGAGCTACCAAGCTTGACCAAATCTCACTACTTTAAGTTATCTGACCACTTGAGTCTTTCTGGAGGAGCCTGGGTTGCTTTTCTCCTTTTGAGATAGTTAACCTGCCAGAGCTTGTATAGTTTTATTACTCTCCTTTTCCTTCTTTTAGTTCCATTAGATTGGTCTCTCCATCTCCCCAGTCAACCTCTCCTAATTTACAAATACTTTTGGAATACTTTTGTATTCCATATCCCTTCTGCCCAAGAGTCAGATACATATTTTTTTTTCCAGTGAACTTGGCCTTGTTTTGGCTAGTAGTTTAAAACCCCCTCTTCCCCTCAGTGCATTATGCTCCTTAAATGGCTCTTGTAAATTTTCCCTTTGGCTTCTCTGTTATGCCTTTGCTTTAGTTACATAAAGTGTAGACTCTTAACCTTTTTTATGTCATGGATCCCTTTAGCAGTTTGGTGAAGGCTATGGATCTCTTCTTAGAATAATGTTTTTAATTCCATAAATAAAATGTACAAAATTAAAGGAGACCACATATATTTGAATACTATCAAACTATATATTTATTTGTTTATTTAGTAGAGAATAGGTCTCTCTATGTTACCCAGGCTGATCTCAATCTCCTGGGCTCAAGCAGTTCTCCCCCAAACCAAATTTGTGATACAGTAATATGTATTTCTGTTCTTTTTCTTTCTTTTCGTTTTCAGTTTCTTTTCTTTTTTTTTTTTTTTTGAGTTGGAGTCTCACTCTTTTGCTAAAGCTGAAGGGCAGTGGCATTGATCATGGCCCACTACAGCAACTTTCTGGGCTCAGGCAATTATGCCATTTCAGCCTCCGGAGTAGCTGGGGCTACAGGTGTGTGCCTCCTCCTGGACTAATTTTAATTTTTTTTTAGAAACGCGGTCTTGCTATGTTGCCTAGGCTGGACTTGAACTCCTGGGCCCAAGAAGTCCTCCCACCTCGGCCTCTTAAAGTGCTGGGATTGCAGGTGTGAGCCACTAGCCCAGGCAGTAATATGTATTTCTTTTTTCCTTTTTTTTTTTGAGTTGGAGTCTCACTCTGTCACTCAGACTGGAGTGCAGTGGCTGCTCCCGGCCACTGCAGCCTCGACCTGCTGGGCTCTGGCGATCCTTCCACCTCAGCGTTCCAAGTTGCTGGAACTACAGGCGTGCGCTACCACGCCTGGCTAATTTTTTGATTTATTGTAGAGATGAGGTCTCACCAAGTTACCCAGACGGGTCTCAAACCCGCGTACTCAGGCAATCCACTCACCTCGGCCTCCCAAATTGCTGGGATTACAGGCTGAGCCACTGAGCCCAGCTAATATGTATTTCTTTAGTATATCATTAAATATCAAGAGCTGGTGGTGGAAGTTTCATTGTTATCATTTCAAAGTCATAATAAGTATTGTGAATGATATTTTGAGATAATTTGTAATAGCTAGCTATTACATGGTATAAAAAAAAATCTGTGGCGTTGTGCTCACGCCCTTAATCCCAGCACATTGGGAACCTGAAGCAGACAGATAGCTTGATCTCCAGAAGTTCAGGATGAGTCTGTTCAACATGGTGAAACCTCTTCTCTATCTTCCTCCAAATACAAAAAATTATTTGGGTGTAGTGGTGCACAGCTGTAGTCCCAGCTACTCGGGTTGTTGCAGTGGAAGTATTGCCTGAGCCCAGGAGGTCGAGGCTGCTGTGAGCCATGATCATCATGATTATGCCATTGTACTCCAGCCTGGGTGACAGAGTGAGACCCTGACTCAAAAAAAAAACCAAAAAACAAATGTGATTTCTGTTCGTGACAGAGTCACTGATACAGCTATTGCTGTTGTGCTGTTTGTTGTCTAGTTAGGAGAATAGTTTGTGTTTATATCTGATATGATAGACTCACTGAATCTTTAGGTTAAAGTGTTTAATACTATATAACTAGAAATATAAATGAAGTTACCATTTCTGACTTTGGAGCTAGTAAAATAAACTTATTAAAAATTTAAAATATTTGTTTACAAAGCAGAGGTGATCTAATATTATTTAAAAAACCATATTGGCATTTCATTTTGACATATACCAGAAAGTTCATGATAGCATTATTTATAAGAGCTTTAAACTGGCAACAATTCAGATGTCCAACAGTAGTGTTGCTAAATTAATTGTGCAAGTTATACAGCAATGAGAATTAAATGGACTGCAACCAGATTCAACAACACGGATAAACTTTGCAAGCATAGTATGGAAAGAAAGATGCCAGTCACAAAAGTCTCTCTTGCATGTTTCCCTTTTCCAAACAGGCAAAGCTAGAAAAGTGGTTTCTTTAGAGAGGGAAAGATAATGGCTGGGAGACAGCACAAGGAAGGATTTTGCTGTCTTGGAATTGTTCAGTTTCTTGATCTGAGTGGTAATAACACAGTATGTTTATCCTGTGAAAGTTTATCCAGTAATACCTTTGTGTGTATACTTTTTTTTGTGATGTCATACCTCAGTAATGTTTCAAGTTTCGAATTGACAGAAGATTATTTTTC